CTGACCTTAGCGACCTCGATTTATCCTTTGGGAATTTACAGGGAAGAACGTAGTCCCAAAGATCAGAAGTCACTACTGCCAACAAATCTGGACTTGTAAACTGATCAGCATTTCATACCACTTATTCCTATTTCTTTTGTTTTTTCTTCCTCATTGTTAGATCTTTTTTTTTTTTTTTTTTAGGTAAGCTCTAGGGGCGCCTGGGTGGCTCAGTCAGTTAAGCATCTGCCTTCAGCTGAGGTCATGATCCCAGGGTCCTGAGATAGAGCCTCACATCTGGCTCTCTGCTCAGCGGGGAGCCTGCTTCTCCCTCTCCCCCCCTGCTTGTGCTCTCTTTCTCTCTCTCTGTCAAATAAATAAAATCTTAAAAAAAAAAAAAAGAATCTGCCTTCAGCTCAGGTCATGAGGCTCAGGTCATGATCCCGGGGTCCTGGGATTGAGCCCCGCATCGGGTTCCTGCTCAGTGGGGATGCTGCTTGTGCTCTCTTGTGCATGCTCTCTCTCAAATAAGTAAATAAATAAATATCTTTTAAAAAAAAAAAGTAAGCTCTATGCCCAACATGGACTTGAACTCGTGACCCTGAGATCAAGAGTCACACACTCCACTGACTGAGCCAGCCAGATGTCTCTAGATCCAGCTATCTTTTTAATCATAGTTACTATCTCTCTCATATTTATGTCTTTTTGTTTTCCACACTTTTTTTTAATAGATGTTCCTACAAATAATGGCCCCATTCACTGTATGAGGTATAAGACATTTATCTCACTAAGATTTAGTGTCTCGCAATACTCAGATTTCCAGAAGGGCTTAGCTAGAATCCCAAGTGCCTCCCCATGTTCTATCAACCATACTCAGAAGCCCCTCCTGTTACTCTTTCCACCATGCTATTGTTTTCAGAAAGAGACCACCTGAAGGATCATTTGGGAAGTGGAAGAAAAAGCTGAATCCTAATTTTCAACACCCACCAACACCCACACATGTACATACACACACACCCACACACACAGAGACGGGGAGTAGGAAGGAGACTAATACCTTCTCTACAATTCTTAAAATAATTCTGTGTAAATGTTTAGTATTTATTTGTCAACTTACTGAAATAGTTATAAATGACTGGGACTGATTTTTTTAACTTAGAGAGCTTTAAAAAAGCAACCAATTTATACGTTATTTTATAAAATAAACAATACGGGAATAATATTTGCATGCTTGGTTCACCAGAGTTTGGTTTACTAACCAAACTATGTTGTAATACAAATCGCAGGGGTAGCAAGCAAGTTCACGCCTCCCACCTTCTTCTACACCAAATACACACTTGTGTATTCTTCCAGCCCTCACTGAGTTCAACAAGGAAAAACTGGCCCCAAGTTCAAAAAAGTTCTAATGTTAGTAGATAACCACTTTTTTCTCCAAAGAGGGTATACGTGCGGTGGTGACTTTCTGGGGGCCGCCCACTAAAGGTTATGTAAGTCCTCCGGAGTACAGTCCTCTAGAACAGCTTAAGCCCCAGCCACTCACTTCGACAACTGTTTATTTGAGAAGGTGCGTTCCCAGGTCCAATTTGTAAAGTCAGAACAAATCTACCCACCCTCCACCCCAACCGGTAACTCCCATCAGGATTTCGGAACTGAGAAACAAAGGTCAGCCGTCTTCCCAATGGGAGGAGGAGTTAGTTACATCAGGCGTGTGAGTAGTCAGTCACAAGGATAGAACAGGAAGACCCAGACTTTAAACTCACAACCAAGTTTCAAATCTTTGCGCTGTCAATTACCAGTGGTGTGACCTTGAACAAGACACTTGACCCCTACTAGTCCGCTTGCACAGCAGCAAAATGGGAATAGCAAGTACCTACTTCCTAGCAGGTTAGAAGCTATGAGAATTATTAAGGATTTATTTATTTTTGTAAAAATTTTATTTATTTGACAGAGAGACACAGCGAGAGAGGGAACATAAGCAGGGGGAGTGGGAGAGGGAGAAGCAGGCTTCCCGCGGAGCGGGCAGCCCGATCCCAGGACCCCGAGATCGCAACCTAAGCCGAAGGCAGACGCTTAATGACTGAGCCACCCAGGCGCCCCATATTAAGGTTTTAGAAGCTACTGCCAAGTGCTTTCCAAAGGGGGCAGAGCTGTTAACACCCTTCAGGAACAGCAAATGAGAGCCCCCACTTTACATTTGCCAGCATTTAAAAGTCATATTAAGACAAAAATCTCTGGTAATTTGGTGGGGGGGGGAGATTCTTTTCCTTATTAGCATTTTTTGACTACCTAGGAGGTTGAACATTAGTTTCACATATGTGGTTGTTATTTGTAGTCTCTTCTTTTAGGAATTTTTTGTTTATATTTATTTTATGGTTACTTTCTACAATTATGGTGAACACCTGGGGCCTTGTTCCTCTTGAATGAAACAGATTTCTTCTTTCCTTTTTTTAGGATGTATTTGTTTATTTGAGAGAGAGAGAGAGCATGAGCATGAGAGGAGGGGCAGAGGAAGAGAATCTGGAAGCGGACTCCCCGCTGAGATTTCTAAAATGCTATATAGCACAGTTCCAGAGTATGAGTGTGAGTTCATTTCCTGTCCTGAGGACTCCAGGTAACTAAAGTTATCACCCCTTATCACAACTACAAAAGCTCCAGAAAAGAGCCATGTTTAGGAAAACACTTTCATGGTTTTACTCTCAAATTCTGAAATGTGTTTCTAAACTAACTGCTCATTTTCCCATGAAAATCTGTAGGCTATATACATAATGAAAAGATTTTAAGATTCTAAAATTTATTTTAGAACCTTAAAGGTATGTCAGTGGAGGTTAACTCTGAGCATCTCTAACACCTTATGAGTCGAAGAAAGAAACTCTACAGCGCCCCAGCGTTGCTCATTCAGCAGATACGGTACAGAAGAAAAGGCGGGTCACCTTTTCACCTTTATTTCCCTTGTGTTCCCTTCATTCCCGAATGCCAAGGTTTTGGAAACTGCAATTTATTTCATCATCCCTGAAATCCAATCCAGTTTGAGAGAAGATAATAAAGCATGGGACATAGCAAAACCTCCTCCAAAAATACATTATCAGGCTAGCCCATTTGGGTTGTTTTCTACACGCTTTTAAGCATTCAGTCCTTTCCCATCCCAATTATTTATCACATCCCAGTATCTGCCTCTGACAGCAAATGAGTTGTATTTTGATTCCCATCTTTATCCTTCAAAATCAGCCAGCTGCAGACATTAAAATGAGGAAACATGTCCCAGGTGTGTCCTATCTCTCAATCAATGCACAATGTTTCATTATTTAACGTGTAGCTAAAAGGTTCCCAAAGGTTTTGAGTTTTCTCATGGGGTGCGGAGGAAGGGCTTGTACTGCCAAAACGTCCAGAACCTTCACCCTAGCCAACTGGCCCTTGGTTTGAGAACACCAAAACTATCTAGCCATCTGATGCACTGCCCCTCAATTTCTGCCCAACTCTGCCTCTGTCTTTCTCCACATCTTCATCTTCAACTCTAGGGCTCGTCTGTACAACTGGGAGACCATCTACTGCTGAGCGTCCTCTGTCACTGAAACAAGACTGACTTCTTCCCAGTTTTAGTCCCATCTCTTCTTCCTCCTGTCTTCTCCCCCATTCATCTTCCACCCTACCCTACTGCCCTACAAACAAGCTCCCACTCCAGCATCCCCCATAGGCTCTTCTCCATGGCCCGTGGCTCTTCCTTCCCTCTCCTTGCGGCAGCCAAACTTCTTCAATGGGTTGTCCGGAATCTGCTTTTCAACATCTTCCAGGTTACGGTAGACAGAAAATGTGTAAGGTACACAGGGGGAGCGTGGGAAGGCTGCCCGACACTGCGGAAGTCTGGTCTGGGGTTCTGGCTGAGTAAGGGATGGGCCACTCCCTGGGACCAATCCACAGCACAGCACCGGGCACCCAACTGGGAAGTGCTGAGCTAGTACCCCTCTGCCTCCCTATCTTTATCACCCCCATTTGCCTGGATCACTTGTCTCACTGGGCACCAATAACTTCCTAATTGCTAAATTCCCAAAGCTCCTCTTCACTCCCCCACCTTCTTGCCCCCTCTCTCTGTGGTGTCTGATGCTGAGGACCAGCTTCCAGGATGTCACAGGACCTAGCACGCCTCTTACCTTGTCAAGGGCTCCTTTCCATGCTGCCTCAGTGACTTCTTTCTCTGCTCTGAGCATCCTGTCCCTTCTTCTCTGGCTCCCTTGCATCATCCGGTTGCTGCGATTTCAACTATCCACTCATCATCCCCTGAGACCCCATGCATCTCCGATGAAACTCAGGCAGTTCCTTGAAACGAAAACCCCTCACAGCCTGTGTGAGCTCTGCTATTGCCAAAATGGTCAATGAGCATCTGTCTAGCATGGGGCCGGCAAAGATGGAGCACCAGGGCCCCACCTGGAAGAAGTCATTCCCCCAGGTTACCGAGGCCTAGACGGCGAGAATTAATTGTGACATCAGCCCGTTTTCTGCCTTCACTTACTACTCCTCCCTGTAGAAATTCAAGCAACCATTCCAGTCTCTCCCATCCTATCTTTCCTTTCCATTCAGACACTCTTGGGCACTTTTCACCTCACCCCGGACTCCTAGGAGTCTCCTAACCCTCGTAGCTCCTTCCAGGTCCTCTCCCTCCAATCATCATGATCTAAGCACACATACCAGTCACATCACTTTCCAGCATAACTTTCAGTGGTTCTCTGCTGCTTCTTGAATAAGACTGGATTCCTTCCCTGACATTCAAGGCCTCCCATGCCCTGGCCCCTCATCCTTCCAGGCAAATGGAATAACTTGTATTACCCCCAACAGCCCTGAACTTTTGGCCTTTGCTCTCCCAGGGCTGGCTTCTACCTCATGATTGGGGTTTAAAGAAGACTGTACTGTTTAAGTTTTTATAATTAACAAGAATCACTTTGAATTAAAGAATGACTGAGTTTCAGGGACTAGTTTAGGTTTGGGGGGTTTGTTTACTTTTTTTAGATTTTATTTTTAAGTAATCTCTACACCCTGTGTGGGACTCGAACTCACAACCTCGGGATCAAGAGTCACATGCTCTACCAACTGAGCCAGCCAGGCACCTCAGGGACTAGTTTAAAACAACTTCCTCTCCTTATGTTCCTTGATCATGCTAGCCCAAAACAACTTTTCTATTCTCTTTCCTCTGAAGATTCTTTTCTGGACTTTGTTGACTCTTAACAAAGACTTCCTATTACAGTGGTCTGTGTTCACACTACTTCAATATTTAGCCCTATAGGGCAAAGCTGGGTCTACTTCATCCTCTTTCCCATGGCCCATGACAGGTCCTCAGTAAATATCAGATGAAGTTGAGGAGTTATGAATTAATCTTAAGGGTGCCAACCTAAATTTCTCCAGTTTGGCAAGTAAAGTTGACTCTAAGTTGGAATATAAGTAGGATAGTTGCATTACATAGATTTGGATTATTGCAGCTTCCAACAAGTTAATCATTTAAATTATTTTTAGGTTGCAATTTTTTGGATAACTCTGCACATCACTGTAAAGGCAGGAACACTCTGTTAAAAGTTAGATTTTTGTGTCCTAGCCTACTTTCTCCTCCAGAATTCCATGAAGTGAGATCGATAAAGAATGAGTCCAGCCTATAACTTTCCGAAAGTTAAGCAAGTCAGGCATTCCCTACCGGATCTGCAGACCTACCCAAAGGAAAAAGACGGACAGCTTTCAAGTTCCCTCCACAGACTCTGTCACCATTTGTCACCCCATCACCCCAGCAATCCAAGTGCCAAAACTGCAGCAACTCAGGCAGGGCCCCTGCAAAAGCTCGTTCCATGTAAAAAACCCTCATTAAACCCTGAGTTATATTTAGAAAAAAAAATGGAACAGAAGTTATATTTAGATGAAATGGCTTTAAAGAATTTTACCAAAAGCAGCATGTTTATACCGATCTTCCAAAAGAAAAGGATTTACTCATTCACTTTTACATACAATTCCTAAAGACAGACCACTTCTCTCTCTGTACACAAAGATTTCTGCTGGGGTTCCTTTGTATCAGGAAGGAAGCAGGCGCATCCAGGATGCTAGCAAGACTGGCCATGGGCAGCGGTGGGATAGGAAGGGCTGAAAACCAGCAGACATTTGGAGAACAGAACCATTTCCTACAGAAACCTTAGTTGAGCTGGTCTGAGGAAGATGCCAAAGGGTGATGCTTGAGCTGCATGATAGTAGCTCTTAAATGCAGAAACTGGACGCCAAAACCATATAGACTCCCTTGGCAACTCTACCTAGAACTGTTCTTCTCCAAAATGTCGTCAGCACTCACATGATGGTCCAACTCCTCTCTACCAGCTCATAGCTAAGTCACTGAACCACATTCAGCATTTTCGTTTGGGCTCTCATTAGTCTTACGCTATTTTTGACATCCACTTTCTTCCGCGTTGGCTTACGTTTTCCTAGCAAAAAACCAGTCACTGGCACCAAGGTGGTTTAGTAAACTTGTGAAGCCTTTTCGTGAATGAATGTATAATTTCAGGGTGCCTATTTGAAGGAGTAAAAGACGGTGTGTGGCACTTATTCATCTCTTCATAGGCCACAGGGTCCCCAGGGCTCCAGAGGAGAATGAATCATGGCTTGGAGGCTTGGCACACACCCCAGGCTAAGGGGACCTCTTCTCTAAAGAGCCTCAGGAAAAGGCCACTTCCCAGCCTCCCAGCCAGGCCAGAGTGCAGGGCAAAGGTAAGGCATAAGGAAGAGAAGGCCAACCTGCAGCACGGGCCAGCCCCCGGTCACCCCAGCAGGAATCACGCCAGGGGATGAGGGTGTCACAGCCCTGATGCTTGCTATTCCTAGGGTCAATTAACACCCTGAGGATGCCCCAGCCAATCCCGACTTTGGTTGTGGCTTGGTATTTCCAGAAAGTGTGACAGCAGCAGAGAAGTGAAGTCATCCAATTTTATACTACTTAGAGGCTTTAGAGGAGCAACGCCTAAGGTTGTGAAATGTAGTAATAAAACAAAAAAAGACCTGGGATGCCAAAAGAGAGACCAGATCATATATTCCGGGCACCCCTCCCCCACGTCAGCTACCCGCCCCCCACCCCTCCTCTACCCACTATCTACATTCATTTTACCAGGATTGGACTCCCAACTGAGGGCCACTTTGTCTGTACCTACAATTTGCCTACTGTGAGAATCACATTAATTACAACAATATAATCATCCACAGGAAAAGCATCGTCTCAACCTTACAGTCCAGACAATCAAGCGCTTAAGTGTTTCCTCACTTGCTTTCCTAAAAGCCCATGATGCTCAAGGATAAGGTCAAAATTAGTGGGTTCTATGGAGCTCATCTAACAGCAGGAAACTTCCCCGGCACATCAGTGAACTTTGTAACCAGGCAGGCCTAACACAACTATGGGCACAGAAGGGGCACAGAAACTACAGGGAAACTGAAGTTACTTCTGTCGGGGCAGTTCACCGGGGGAACAAGGCTACGTACGGGAGTGGGATAGGGCACGCTAAGTTCCTTCTGAAAGGTTGCATGCCAGAAGACCTGAGTGTCCCTGGAAGCTTAAAAGGAGGACAGTGACATGGGTCCAGGCCGGGAACGGCTGCAGGAATGAGCAGGGACAGTCAGAAACAGGCAGGGAAAGAAAGGGTGGCTTCTCCAAGGAGGGCTCCAAAATTCCCTGGCAGGCCTGGATTTAGTCATCAGGAATCCCCAGTACCAGTGAGAATCAGCCTGTGGAAGTTCTTGGGCAAAAGAACATGTAAGGTGGAAGACAGAAGGGAGGGCAGTAGAAGATGGCCAAAGGAAGAAAGAAGGGATAGGACGCAAACAGAAAACTTGTCCCCCCGGGGGCTCTTGGGGTGGGGGTGGGGAGCAACAGATGAAGACAGGCGGTTGTCAGAGTCAGGGTTCAAAGGGGAAGAATCAAAACACCCTAAAGAGAATTGGGTGGGTGGAAGGAAGAGCCTGCCTGAGGGAAATGATGGGTCCTATTTGGGACATTTCTGGTGACTTTATCTGCACCAGGACCTGGATCAGTGCTGACTCACGGACCTTAATGCCTCCCAGACTCCTCTTTCCAGACATCTAATGGTAAATGGAAAAATGGGACTGTGTTAGTATCACCCTCTCGCACACAAAGTGACAGGGACCTGAGCAAAAAGTGAGCTTTCAAAACCCTTGAGGAACTGAGCTACATCTGCGCACAGGGAAGGGAATCAGTGGAAACCTAAACGAAGTCCCTGCAGCTTGTTTTGCTCAACTTTTACTTTACCCACTTTCAATATGAATGAGAAAAGGCACCAGTCAGATGCCCGTATCCAGCTTATATTCAGGACTTCCTGGGGGTGCTCCAAAGCAGGGACAAAGCGGCGGGGCCTTCCTTCCCTGCTTGAAAGGTGAAGGTGTGTGGTCCCACGCCCCTCTCCCCAGGTCAGAGCCCCCTACCTCCACTGCCACATCCCTTCCGGCCAGGAGAGAGCCTCCACTGAACCCACAGCGGTGCCTCCACTCTCCACCGACCCTGTACCACGTCAGCAGGCAGCGCCCATTCATCACCGAGCACTTCTCAGGCGGCCCTTTAATTACGATCACTCTTTAAGGACAGCTTAAACAAAAAGTGAGTCTGTCGGGCCTGCTCCTCAGGCGCCAACACCTCCCGCCCCCGAATCAAGAACGAACTGGCAGGCACTGGGAAGCAAACAGAACCACCAATGCGCGCGTGGCGCCCAAGGGACCGCGCGCAAGAGCCTGACACACAGTCACAGTAAGTAGGTGCTCACCGAAGATCTGCCATCGGACCTAGCACCTGGGCAGTCGGTCCTGGGGTGGGGTGAGGTGGCGGCTCGGAGGCCACAAAGGCCTCGCCGGCCCAGGGCTGCGCCCCTCGCGACGCGGGGGGCGCGAGTTTAGGGCCAGGGAGGGGGCGATGGAATCCGCCCTCATTTGCACGTCGTCTGGGGCCCGGTCAATTTGCTTAATCACGGCTCTAAATGCCAGCGCGCAGCACACAATGCGCGCCCATTAACAGGTTTAAAGTGTCGCAGCGCTCGCTTTAAATGAGAAAAGCCGGCAACAAAGGGGGAAAAAGCCAAGTTCCTCAACTTGAAGAATGCCTCGGGTCACCCTCCAAATCATCTAGGCGAGTTTAAAATCCCAAGCTCCACAGAACAGTTGAAGCCCCTGCTCGAGGGCGGGGCGGGGGGGGGGGGGGGGGGTGAATAATCCGCCACGAATACTGGGTTTCTTAGGAACCAACTCCCAGCCGCTCAGTGAAATTGAAGTCGGGGGCAGCGTCGCCAACCCAGCTCCCCCGGCCCATTGCCTAACTGCCAGGGAAAGCTGACGGATCTCCAGGAAGGAAAGCGAGAACCAACCCCCCCCCCCGCCCCGCCAAAAAAAGCCGGCACAAATCCAAGTTTTCCTTTACTGCCAGCAAAGAATTTTGGAGGCCAGGGAACACCCCCAGAAGTGGACCCCAAAGCCTCTCCCCAACAGAAGGGGAAAACGTAAAGGAACTTTACTTTCATCCAGACTGCCCAGCGCAGCCTAACGCTCGGCCGCCACAGAATAGTTCAACTCCGCAAACATGTTCTGCCCAGGATCCTCCCGGGACGGCCCCATCCCCCACCCCATCGCCGAGCCGGGGTCGCATCCCGCCGGCCCGGCCTCCCACCCGCCCGGGCGCGGCCCGACAGGCACTCACCGTGCGCGCTCCTCCGGGAGACAAGGGTCCGTTGGAGAGGTACGGACTGCTCAAGTCTGGGATCATCAGGAACGGGTACCCAGGGTACGGGGGGCCCTTAAAGAACGCGCCGTCCTGGGGCCTTCTCACTGCGGGCAAGACCGAGGCGGGGGTGAGGCCCGGGCCCCCGGGGACAGCGCGGCGGCAGGAGACCCGGGGCGGGGACCGCGCTCCAGGACGGCTGTGGCCGCGGCGGACGGAGAGCAGGGGCATGGCCACGGGGCCAGGGGAACCGTGGGCGGCCTGAGCTGAGGCGCTGGGCGCAACGGGGCCCGGGACTGGGGGCTGCCCCGACCCGCACGTACCTTCGGCGAAATAGTCCCGCGGCTTCTGGAAGGCGTCCCGGGCGGGCTGCGGGCGCCTCTCCGCCTGCGGAGGAGACACAAAGGCGAGGGCGGGTGAGCGGGCGCGGGGCCGGGGTCCCCCGGGGTCGGCCGCGGGAGCCTCCTTACCTCCGAGTCCGAGCTGCTGCTCTGGTTCTCCGACTCGTTGACCAGGGACGACTTGACCTCGTCCAGGTCCCGCTGCGCGGAGGCACTGTCGCTGCTCGGCTCCTGCTCCTCGCCCCCCTCGTCTTGGAAGGGGATCAGCTCGTCGTTCGCCCCGAGGTCGTCCCCTCCGCCGGCCGCCCCGGCGCCCGAGCCGCCACCGCCGCCGCCGCCTCCCCCGCCGCCGCCGCCGCCGAGCTGGGGCATGGTGGGGCCGCGCGGGCCGGGGCCGCCGCTCTCGGAGCCCCTCGCCGCCCGCGCCCGGCCCGGCCCGGCCCGGCGCCCGCCCCTCCGCCCGCCCCTCCCTCTCTCCCTCCCGCTCGCCGGCCCGCTCGGCTCGCCGCCGCGGCGGCCGCAGCAACAAAGTTTGACAGGGCGTGGTCCCGCGGGAAGCGGGCCGGCGCGGCCGGGCCGGGGCGGGGGCGGCTCGGCTCGGGCCCCTCCGGCAGCGCCCAGCCCAGGGCTCCCCAACTCGCCGCCGCCGCCTGCTCCGCCGGGGCGTCCCAGCGCCTGGCCCGCCGGGGAGGGGCGAGCGGCAGAGGAAGGAGGGATCGCCGGTCTGGGCAGGGGGGCCGGAGGGAGGAGCCCCGGCTGCAAGCTGACACCCGCGCGCCTCGCGGAACCCGGAGAGCTCCAGCGCGCACACACTCATTCGCATTCACACTCGCAGACCGCTCACTCACACCTTCCGGGGGCTGCGCCTCCCCGCCGCGCGTACCGCCCTCGCCCCCCCCCCCCCAGCCCCGACCCCTTCCCCTGCACCTCGCCCCGCACCCTGGGCGGCCCGCCTGCACCCTCCGGCCCACCGCCCCCACCGGTAGGCATCCCCTAACTTTCTTCCAAAGAACCCCCAGAACTCCGCACCGCTTCCACACCCCCTCCCACCGCAGCGGCGCGCTGGCGGGCGGCACTGCCCCCTGCGGGAAAGCTTCGGACACACAGACCCGTCGCGGACACTCGCTGCCTGGAGTTCCTCGGAGCGCGGGATCCCAACAGCCTGCTGGCCCTCGCCGGATGCGTAGGACAGAGGATCGGGCAAATTTACGGCACCCCGGAATATGCCGGGCGGCCTTCCGCTCCTCCTTCCTGTGGGGTTCCAACGCGCCCCCTCCCTAGCCCGGGTTTTTGACCTTGTTCAGGTGTCTAAAGTCACCCGCCGCTGAAATCCCAAAGATCACCTTTACCCCACAGTTGCGGACCAGGTCCGTCAACGAATAACTCACAGTCCTGGTTTCAGAAAGGATTCGGATTGGGTTCGTTGCGAAGGAAAATTGTGTGCCTGTGACCTCTGAAGCCGTTCACAAAGCTACCTCGGAAGCCAAGGAGCATATAAAAAATAACCCAACCGGCCTCCTGCTGAAAGAAATGCCTCTTAGAGTTACATTAAGAGAGCATCCCTCTCCAACCAGTTTGGGAAAGTTTAAAAAAGTAGATCTCGTGCCATCCACAGCGGGGAAGTGTTGGCGAGACCATCCGTTTTAAAAGCAGACTGAAAGGCAGTATGGGAATACCTAAAACTATTTTCAACGCAACTGGCAGGGGAGTTTTCTACAGCGATTCCCCCACACATGGACAAAGTCACAGATACAAGGAAGTTCAGAGCAGCAGGGAAGTTGGGAAGAGGGGTTCTGGGTCTCACAGTGAGCCTCTGTGCAGCAGCCAGCTCACCGGAATGAGGCCCCCGCACATATGGATCCTAGAATGATTTTGGAGAAACATTAACAGTATTACGGCCCTCCCTTTCATTTGTTTTTTTAAAAATTAAATATATATATTTATATTATTATATATATTTGTTTCTGCATAGAAAAGTCTGCGAAGATACACACCAAGTTATCGATAAATACATTTGAGAAAAGGAATAGGTCAGAGGAGAGAGCCTGTTTTGTTCTGCTTTCTACGTATTTTACCATTTATCACAACCAAAGATGCCTTATCTCTTTTTACACAATTAATACATGAATACAGTCTCAAACCTTTTTCAAACAATATCCATGGATCTCGAATAGAATCTTGAGTACAAGGTAAAAGTCCCTCCTGCGCTGCTTGCCACACCTCACTCCAAGGAGGCACTGTTACTGGTTGGGTGTATCCTTCCAGACATTTTCCCAGGCACATGTAAACACGTATACAAACGTTCAGATTTACTTCCACATAAATAGAATTATACTATTCATATTATCGTGTGATATTTCATTTTTGTAAGTTTCTAAAAGAAAGTTTTTCATGTGGTCCATAAACATATGAAAACCCTACTGTATTAGTTTCCCATGGTTGCTATAACAAATTATCACAAACTTGGTGGCTTAAAACACTGGCAATGCATTCTCTCACTGTTGGGGAGGCCGGAAGTCCAAAATGACTTTCACTAAATCAAAATCAAGGTATTGGCAGGGCCAAATTCCCTCCTGAGGCTGTAGGGAGAGTATTCCTTGCCTCTTCCAGCTTCTGGTGGCTGCCTCTGATCTGTGAAATCTCATCACTGCACTTTCTGCTTCTGGTCACACAGCCTCCTCCTCTGTCCAATCTCTCTCTCTGCTTCCTTCTTATAAGGAAGGACACTTGTGATGTCATTTAGGGCTCACCCAGATAATCTTGGATTATCTCCCCACTCAAGTTCCTTAACTTAATCACATCTGCAGAGACCCCTTTTCCTTATAAGGTAACATCCACAGGTTCCAGGGATTAGTACATGGACATATCTTTGGGAGGAAGCCATTATCAGCCAGCCACACCTCTCGCCCTCGAAGAAATGCAAACTGAAACAGCACAGAGATACCATTTTTCATCTATCAGATTGGCAAAGGCAGAAAACAATTACACCCAGCACAGGCCCCTCTGCCGGGAAACAGTTGCTGGGCATGGCTGTGTGTAACGTTTCTGAAAGAAAATTTGGCAATAGCTATGAAAAACCTTTAAGTGTGTACACCTTTGACTCATCTATACACTTCTAGGATCTTATATCAAGAAAATAACCAGGCACACAAGTAAACTTGTACAAGTGTGTTCATCACAGTGAAAAGCTGGAAACAATCTCATTGTCCCCAGATAGGGAATTGTTAAATAAAATCATGATGCATTCATCAGAAGGAATGCTATGCCGTTGTGAAAATATGTTTGTCAATGTGGAAAGAGGCTCATGATAGTGAAAATAGCAGATTAAAATTAATGTATTAGACTTCTGGGAGACCTGGGTGGCTCAGTGGGTTAAGTGTCCATCTCTTGATCTCAGGGCCCTGAGTTGAAGCCCTGAGCTTTAAGTAGGCATTGAGCCTACTTAAAAAAAAAAAAAGCATATAGACTTCTGCTTTCCGTTCTAATGGAATATTAATGTCAGACTGACTTTTCCATCAAGAACCACTATAAATGCTGGGTGAAATACTAAAATAAAACAACAACAATAAAACCCAGTTGATGGGAAGACATCAGAGTCAATGAAATCAGCCAGGACTTAAGGAGTCAAGATATCAAAGAGAAGGGAAGTTCACTGAAGTTTATATTTACCACTATTGTATCCCCTCAGAACATTTGGTGATTTGCAACATCAGGCATAGAGGCCAAACAAAAAGCAACTGTCTAGAGCAGGCAAACTAGCCTCCTATCTGTTTCCATAGGGCCTGTGAGCTAAGAATGTTTTTTACATTTTTTTTAATGGTTCCCCAAATAAATCAAAGAAGGATAATAGTTTGTGACATGAAAATTATATCAAATTCAAATTTCAGTGTTGATAAATAAAGTTTTAATGGAACATAGTCATACTAAGTTACGCATTGCCTATGACTCTGCTTTCAAGCCATAATGTCAGAGTACTTGCAGCAAAGATTATAGGTGGTGTTCTCATGGCTCTAGACCATTACCCTCTGCACTACAAAGTAGAGATGAAGTGTTTCAAGTGCCATGTATATCACTCAAACAAATTCACAAAGCTTGTGGAAAGAACCAAGTGTTTATAGCCTGTAGTATTCATTATATTATTCACCAGCAAGTACTTTGCAGAAAATAATTACTTCTGTTCTTGGATTCCTTTTACAAAGCATTCATTACCTGAAGAAATTTTTTCCCAGATTGTATTTTTTGGTTTACTATTTCTGAAGGAATGAATATTCCTTCCAGGTGGTCCAAAAGTTGCCTGGCATGTAACACCAACTTAATATAGAAGTATATGTTTGGAGCTCTGTTCACATTGCTACAGTCTGTTCATGATGTATCTGCTGTGGTTCATAATGAATTTTCCCAGCCATGTCATTCAGTCTTTTTGTAAATATGGAGTTAAATCATTTTATGGATGAGTTAAGATTTGAGCAAGAGGACACAGCCTACTCATTCCATGAGTTCTAAGAATTTTCCCATGTATAAAAATCCCACTGAATCATCCCAATAAATGATTATTAAGCATTCTTTGGATGTAAAAAAATAAAATTGTGCAAGAAACTCATCTTCCCTGCTGTTCTTAAGATGAAGAACCATGCAGAATCCAAAGTCATGAGGATTTTGGTTTGCATTAGGGTTCCAATAATTCCTGTGTGACTCTGGAAAGGTCAAGTTCATATCCTGAAGCCTTGGTTTCCTCATCTATGAAACAGGGAAACAGAGCCACGGGTTGCTCTGGCTGCTCCTGATTATGCAGCCAAATCAGCTGTCAAGGACACTTTTGGCCTCATTTCCAGTTAGGGAAATATGAAAGATGAGGTAGAGGGGAGATGACAATTTATCAGCATAAGTTTTATGCCTCTGTGTTTTCCTCTAGCAAGTTCACTTTCCTTTCTCAGTTTACTATGGACTTTCCAATTTCTGATCATTTTGTGTTACTGTTCTCGGCAAAATTACATATGCTTTATTTTCTTTTTCTCTCTGATTTTGAAAGAGGAGGTAGCACTCTACTACTTTCCTCTAATATAGCTTCAAAAGTATTCCAGTTGGGGCACCTGGCTGGCTCAGTCGGTGAAGCGAGCCACTCTTGATCTCAGGGTTGTGAGTTTGAGTCCCTATTGGTAAAGAGATTACTTAAAATCTTTTTTTTTAATTTATTTATTTTTGAGAGAGAGCAGCAGGGAGGGAGAGAGGGAGAGGGAGAGAGTGTCTCAAGAAAACTCCATGCTGAGTGCAGAGCCCAATGTGGGACTTGATCTCATGACCCCGAGATCACGACGAGAGCTGAAACCAAGAGTCGGAAGGTTATCTGACTGTGCCACCCAGGCACCCCCAAAATGAAATCTTTAAAAAAAAAGAAAAAAGTATTCCAGTATCTCGAAGTGGGGCATATCTGGTTTTGATAAAGGGAGTTAATTTTTGCTGCCAGAACCCTATGATTAGCCAAATTCTGGCATAAACTTTCCAATCCCAATTCTTGTCATCTTTTGGGTTTTCTTTTATTTATTCTTTTAAAGGAGGCTCCACGCCCAACATGGGGCTTGAACTCATGACCCTGAGATCAAGGGTCACATGCTCTACCAACTAAGCCAG